CAGTGGCTCAGATTTTGCCAGGCCATGCAGAAACAGAACTGCAGGATTTTTTTGTTTGCACAGTAAGACCTACTCTAAATACTTACACAACATATACATTTTAGTGGAATAAGCCAGAATAATAGTGCAAGTTGGTCTGCCAGGTAACTGCACCTAAACATTTAATTAGTGTATGCAGAGTTTTATATTAAGTTGGTTCTTGGCTAGTAAACATTTTTGGGAGATGTTTCTAGTCACGGCCTTTGGCTGACACAAGGGAATAGGGAGCACCCTTTCTGAGCGTTACAATGAGTATCTGCCTCTTTTTGTCCCTCCCTCCTCCCCAGTGGCGAGGGGAGAGGAGGGGGAGCGCCGCTGGGGAGGAGGGAGGGGAAAAGGAGGTGGGGGGGGATTTTCTTAATATTACATTCAGTTCATTGGAGACAGGCTCCTGGTTAGGTGTTTAATTCCAACATTCCCACTAAAGAAAAATGAAAAATCAGAGAAAGTGAACAAAAAAATCTTAAAAGCATTGAAAAACTAATCATATAGTGAAGAACCACTGAGCCAACATTTAGGAGGCTCAAACCCAGAGAGGTAAGCCCAGAATTCAAAGCAATTTTTACTCTGGAGACATTTACCGATCTGGAAGAGAAAACTGTGAAACTGAGCTGTTGTTTGGCAGTCTTTGGTGGGGAGGGCCAAAAATCAAAACCCAGAGCCTGCCCAAGGGAGGAAGTCAGATACCCCACCCACACACACACTTTAAGATGGGACCCCTACTTGTATGAACATGTAGCCCAGAATCATATTACCTGGTGGTCCAGGGACTCTTAAGCCTTGAACTTGGATTAAACTGGACCCATCCTTATCATGACCCTAGTCACCTGGCAGAAGCAAGCATATTTGGTACCAAGCAATGCCCTCTGTAAAGGAATGTACTGTCATCCAAGGCTTCAAATTATTTCTAAAAACAATTTTTCAGGTATGATATTCAGTCTGTAGTCAAAGGTAATCAGGCACACAAAGAAATAAGAAACCCTACACAAGAACTGATACAAACAACAGGAAACATAAATTGACCCACAAAGATTTAAGATACTGGAATTATCTGATAATGGCCTTAAAGTAACACTGCTTACTGTGTTTAAAGAAGGTAAAGACAGGCATAAGAATATCTGCAGGGGCCCTAACTGGTTTGGCTCAGTGGATAGAGCGTTGGCCTGTGGACCGAAAGGTCCCAGGTTCGATTCCGGTCAAGGGCATGTACCTTGGTTGTGGGCACATCCCCAGTAGGATAGGAGGTGTGCAGGAGGCAGCTGATGGATGTTTCTCTCTCATCGATGTTTCTAACTCTCTATTCCTCTCCCTTCCTCTCTGTAAAATAGCAATAAAATATATTTTAAAAAATGAAAATAAAAAAAAGAATATCTGCAGGGAACAAGTACCTATTAATAAGTGCCCTAGGTCTGGCTTCGAATCACATGTGATCATCCTAATGTCCCCGGACACCACCGTACCCCTTGCCCCAGGCATTTCCGAAGCAATTGTTTTTTCATAGTGTCCAACACTATTGGGAATCAGCTTACTTGCTTACAAATTTAGTATCTTTCTCCTCCTAGAACATTAGCTTCAGGAGAGCAGGGATCATGTCTGTCTGTGTCCCCAGCGCCTGGAGCATGCCAAGTACACTGCGGGTGCTCCATCAACAGCATCGATTGTACTGTCGGGTCCCTCCCAGTCCCAGGCCTCAGAATCAGGTAAAATCTCCCAAAGCCAGGAGCTGGGGTCTCCCCCAGGGTCAGCCCAGGTTGCAGACTGGCCCGTCTTCAGGGACAAGGGTACAGGGAGCACAGCTATGAGCAGCAGCAGGTTTTATTGCGACCAGAATCCTTGGTCATGTGGAAGGGGATGGGGGAGAGGGGTATTCGGTCATTGACGCCATGCTTCCCGTCCAGGACGTGACACCAAAGGTCTGTGCCCTGCCTCTTCCCTGCCCCCCAATCAGGGCATCCGAGGGGGCTGAGGCAGAAGGGAGGTGAAAGGGGAGTCCATTGTTGCAGAGCCTTCACCCAAGAGGTCGGAGGGAAGGAGGAGCAGTTGGTGGTGGGGGCCCTTTGGGCTGAGTTCTGCACGTGTCCTCGTGGGTTTCATGGGAAAGCAATGAGATGTACTCTGCCCATGGGGAGAGGGTGGGAGGGAGGCAAACAAAGGCTCAAAGTGAGACATCTCTGGCCAGTGACCACACGAGCAGGACTTGGGATCCCGACTTCTAGGCCAGGGCCATGTCCCCCCGCTTCCGGCATTCACCCCAGCCTCGGCTTCCAGCCTGGCTCGCCTCGGTCCTATGTGGGGATCCGCGTGTGGTCCAGGTCCTGGTCCATGATCTGGAGCACGTCGTCCAGGATGGACGGCCCCAGGTCCACGTGCAGGGAGAGCAGGGAGCTGGCGTGGGATAGGAAGGGCTCCTCAGCCCCTGACTCAGGGGTCAGCCCGTTTTGGGCTGAGCCAGCCTCTGGAATTCTCCACATGTCCACACTCCCTGCCTCCTGCGGGGAGGGCTGTGGGGAGTGCTGAGGGGTCTCCAGGTGCAGGCGCGGGGGTTTGGGTGGGGCCTGGGTGGTGGGCAGGGTGAGGGCCTGGGGCCCTCCGATGACTGGGAGGGAGATGGCGTTCTTGAGCAGAGGGGACGGCCCTTCGGGGAGCTCCTGCCCACACAGGGTGGCGGGGGTGAACGGGAAGGGGAGGTTAAAGGTGCCGTCCTCCTCGGGTCCCTCGACTGCCGTCCCTGGAAGGAGGTGGAACTTGCCCTGCAGGAAGGAGATGTCACCGAACATGTCACTGCCGCCGCCGCTGCCGATGTGAATGGTATGGCGGAAGTCCCCCAGCGGCGGGCTGATCATGTCCGAGGACAGCAGGTCCCGAAGCTTCTCCTTCTTGCCCTTGCGGCTGCCACGCTTCAGATAGATGGGCGCCTTGGTGGACATAGTGACCTCACCGCCCAGGCCTGGCTGCCGAGGCCAGAGACCGTCCACTCGCCGAGACCACAGGCTCCTTGGTGGACATAGTGACCTCACCGCCCAGGCCTGGCTGCTGAGGCTAGAGACCGTTCACTCGCCAAGCTCCAGCTGCCTCCTCCCGCCACCGGAAACACCCAGAGGGCGGTTTTCAGACACCAAAACCCTGCAAAGGGCTAAGAGCGGGTATGGGGCGTGGTCACCAAGTTGGCCCAAGGACTTAGAAAAAGAAAGATGAACTGTTGGCTGAAGTCCGGGGGTTGAGATAAGGAAAGTCACACTCTCCCAAAAGGGTGGAGAACTGGAATTGGCAGCAGAAAGGTGACCTTGCAGGCAGCTGTGCTCCCTGGTCTTGCCCTTGTGAGCGTCTCCCTGGTCCCGGGCTGAGGAGCTGAAAGACACACCAAGGGTACAAGTCAGGGACAGAAGGACTTCACTGCTGGCCCCCTGTGCCAGCCCTGGGAGCCCCAGTGCAGGGCCCTGCTGGAGGGAGCATGTGCTCAGTCATAGGCCCGCCGCACCTTCGGGCCCGGATCACCAACGCCAAGCCCCTCTCTTACAAGAGGGGAAACTGAGGCCCGGGAACCTGAATGACAGGCCCGAAGGCCCATACAAAGTCCCAGCTCTGGCCCTGGCCGGTTTTGCTCAGTGGTTAGAGTGTCGGCCCACAGACTGAAGGGTCTCAGGTTCGATTCCTGGTCAAGAGCACGTAGCTCGGTTGTCTGTGCAGGAAGCAACCAATTAATGTGTCTCTCTCACATCCATGTTTCTCTCTCTCCCCCTCCTCCCTCCCTTCTGTTCTCTCTAAAAGTCAATGGGAAAAATATCCTTGGGTGAGGATTTAAAAAAAAAGTCCTGCCTTAGCCGGCTTGGCTCAGTGGATAGAGTGTCAGCCTGCGGACTGAGGGGTCCCAGGTTCGATTCCGACCAAGGGCACATGCCTGAGTTTCGGGCTCAATCCCCAGTAGGGGGCGTGCAGGAGGCAGCCGATCGATGATTCTCTCCCATCATTGATGTTTCTATCTCTCTCTCTCATTCTCCCTTCCTCTCTGAAATCAATCAATCAATATATATATTTTTTAAAAAAAGTCCTGGCTCTGGCCTCTTGCCCTGGGTCCCTGGCTCTGCTCATCACCGTGGCCCAGGAACTCACTCGATATTGCACATCAATGGCGCCCCAAGAAATGGCAGGCAGGTGCCAAATTGCCTGGGGCTCTCAGAGACTGGTCTCAGTTCCCTACCTGACAGAGGACAGAGATCTTGTAACCTCGGTCTCACCCACCCAGACCTGGCACAGGGCTGGACACACAGTAGGTGTTCAGCTGGCAGAGCCATGTAACTGAGATACCCCTTGCCCCTCCCCGCCCTTCATTTGGCCCAATCACATCCCACCTGGAAGTGAGGTCACCTCAGAATTTCTCTTTTCTCCTCCTCCTGGTTAGGAGTTCCTTATGGGCAGGGCTGAGTCTCATGTAGTTTCTGTCCCGCTCCCTGCCCTAGCACCTGAAGGGAAGATGGATGCGGGGGACCAGTTGGGGGGTGTCTCTGTTCTGTATCTGCCATTTTGCTGAGTTCTTTGCAAATACATCTTGTTTAGTTATCACAACCACCCTCCTATCATCCCCATTTAAAAACTGGAGCTATGCCCTAGCCGGTTTGGCTCAGTGGATAGAGCATCGGCCTGCGGACTGAAAGGTCCCAGGTTCGATTTCGGTCAAGGGCATGTACCTTGGTTGCAGGCTCAGGCCTGGGCCCTGGTTAGGGCACGTGCAAGAGGCAACCAATCGATGTGTTTCTCTCACATCGATGTTTCTCTGTCTTTCCCTCTCCCACTCTCTCTAAAAGATCAATGGAACAATATCCCCAGATGAGGATAAACAAACAAACAAACAAAAACTGGAGCTATAAGACATTGGAGGAATTTCCACAAGGCATTGCAGAGGGAGAGAAGCAAAATGCAAAAATGTAATATAGAAGATTCCATTTATTGGAAGCCTTGACCAACTCCCCTCCCACTCCCCATATACACATGTACTTGTACCTACATACAATCTGCGTAGAATTTTATTCGATGTATGAACAGAGAAGAACATGGAAGGCCAGCACTAGATGTCATATGTGCTACCTAGACTGGAGTGGGGGGCAGGGGTGGGATGTGAGGTCAGTGATGTGAGAGGAAAGGTGTCCTCAATAAAAATTATCTAATATTTAGCACTGTTACTATAAAATAAAATATGTAAATATGAAAGAATGGCAGTCAAAATATTGATGGTACTTCTCTAAGGTGGTAATATTTCCGGTGACTCTGCTTTGCTTGTTCATACTTTTATAAACTCAGGTTCTTTTTTTTCCCCCCCAAACAGCATTTGTATTTTTTTATTGTATAATTTTTTAAATTTTATTTTATTGTTTAAAGTATTACAGATACTAGTACCTATGTCTCCTTTATTTTCCCCCTATTGACCTTCCCCCGGCCTCCCCTACCCCCCAGCACATGCCCTCACGCCCGCCCCCCAGTGTCTTGTGTCCATTGGTTATGCTTATATGCATGCATACAAGTCCTTCGGTTGATCTCTTACCTCCCCCCTGCAACACTCCCCAGCCTTCCCACTGTAATTTGACAGTCTGTTCCATGCTTCTCTTAAACTCAGGTTCTTAATAAGCTTATATTATTTATGTGCATATTATTTATAAAATCAGAAAAATAAAGCTATTTTTAATGTGGAAAAAAATAAGCACACTCTGAAGGGGTGTCTCACCGGGTTAACAGAAAGAGGAAGCCTCCCGAGCGCTCGCTCTAGTTCCCACGGCGAGGGAGTGGCCCTGACACGTGGATACAGATGTGGAATCAGAGCACAAAAGGCAAAGGAAGGAACGTGTCCAAGGTCATCCAGCGGGTGCCCACATGACCTCACCATCTCCCTCTGCCCCGTCCCGAGGCCGGCAGAAGTTGAGCAAGTGGGAACCAGCCAGGGAGGGGCCGAGCAGCAGGGCAGCCCAGCCAGCTCTGCCCCCTTATCCTGGGCAGGGTGAGGGCAGGATGAGGGGCTGGCGGGAGGAGGCAGGAAGGAGGCAGGAGGATGCAGCCGTGGCAGAATCACCCCCTCAGCCCAGGCTCTCACTTAGGAAACCCCACCCCAGCACCGGACACCCAGGGTCAATCACGCTGAGCCACAGAGACCGGACATCTTGCCCCTCCCGGAGCACCTGCAGCTTAACAGGAAACAAAGGACTAAATCTCCAGTGTGGGAATTCCAGCTAAGCTTGGAAGGAGCTGGGGGGAGGAGGGGGCGGCAATGGGTGCCTCAAGGCCTTAGAGTCCCCTCATTCACCTCACAGATGCCCACCAAGCCAGGCCTGCGGGGGAGGGCGCGTGCTGACACACATTCTGTCTGTCTCCTTGGCGAGAAGTCCTGGGTGGCTTTTCCCTCCTCTTTGCTCATGGAGAGTGGGGCTGACTGGTGGGATTGCTCAGGGCCTGGGCCAGGCCCCCCCGCCCCCCATTACACAGGGGTGCCAAGACAGCCTGAGCGTTTCCACAACAAATTGGGCGTCCCTGACAGCTGTCTCACTCAGAGCCAGAGATACCGCCCAATTCCAGATGTGGGGAGAACAGGCTATCGAGGAAGGGTTGGGCCAGCATCAGCCACCCAGGGGAGAGCTGGGAACTGCAACCATCAAGCCCCAAGAATTCAAATTTGGCAACCACAAGACCCCGTCTCCAGCCGCCCTTGCACAGCTTCCATTTTAAAGCTCCCAGACGCAGCCCGGGTGGGTGTCGCTACTGCCTTTCACAGAGGCAGAAGCTGAGCCTCGGAGACATTAAATAACTTTGCTGAGGTAGGGTGGGCACTGGGACCCAGCCACGCTGGGCCTCCTTCAGAGAAAACGACCTCCCATCACAAGGAATAGTAGACCACTCCCTACCCCGACCAGGGCCGTTCTAAGAGCAGCCAGACCTTACAATCAGGAGACCCACCGTAAATCCATCTCCACGTAGGATTCACTCTGATTCTGGGAAAGACACCTTTCCTCTCTGGCCCTCACCTTCCCCATCCATAAAATGGGCTGACAATAAAGCCATCACCAGAGGGCACCTGGAGACCCTACAGCTATACTGCAATTGAGAGCAGCAATGTCACCTTTTATTCGGCAAACAGCTGTAGGGCCTCCCCCAAGCACTTCTGTGATCTGGACACAGTGCTCCCGACAAGATAAAAAACCAAGGGCCCCTGGCCCCAGGCGTCCACCTCCTCTCGCCCGCCCAGCACAGCCAGCAAAGAATCCCCCTCGCAGGCCTGGGGAGGCTGGGTGGGGGGTGGGGGGGTGCCTGTCTCTC